GGATGTTACAGTGTCTCTCCTTATGGTGGGAAAACAAGTCCACATTTTTCACTCTGAAAATCTGGTAGCCCTAGTTGTAACTCATGAAAATAACCAACTTATAGAAATTTTTTTTATTAATACTATCCAAGACTTGTGTGAGAATAATCAAACAGTAAAATATAATTGATTAATAAGCCTGATGATTATCAAATTCCACTGATCACCCAGCTCTAACTATTTAATATGTTACGTTAAATAAATAATATAGATTCTGAACAAAGCAATCAACATAAGTTAACTTTAAAGTTAAAAATAAATTGCACAGTTAATTTTAATTTTCCTAAATTAAACCAAATAGTTTATTATTTACTAAGCATTTTTCTAAAAATAGGTAAAACAGAAAATAATACGAGATTTTGTGGATAAATAAAACTCCTTAATTCCATTTACATACAATTATCTGGTAGGTGAATAACTATAATCCTAAGTCACAATGATTATACAGCTACAGATTAAATTTACTTTATTGGATTTTACAGTCTCACTAGGCACGTCATATTTTGAATTTGAAAAATAATGTTATTTAACAAAGGCAATCTAATTATTGGTCACAATTTTACAGACAGTAACCTAAGAATATAATGAATTGTCACACATAGTTTGTAATTACTTTATTCTTGGGTTCATACAGAATACATCTTTATCCAAATATTTAACAATTGCTATTGTCTTATACAATTAGCAAAATTAAGTAAACCAAAAATTATAGAGCATTTACTTGTCAACTACAAAAATAAACATGCGAATACATACTTCTGTAGCATAATTATAGGGCCCATAAAGTTATACTATTAACCCAAGCATGACCAGTAAGCACCTTTCTTCTGTTCCATATCAAATTTTGAAATTTAAGTACAAATTCTAACTATTTCAACAGTTTTTAACACGGATATACTTTAGAATTGACATTTTGTTATTTGTTAATAACATTCATTTAGGTTAATTCATTAGTAATAATAAAAAAAATGTTTAAACTTTCCTATCTGTGTTGCTCCAAGGAGTGCCACCTGTAAACAATATACTTATAGAATGTTCTGTCTATCTCAAAGCATATGTTTGTATTTGCTAAGAAACTATTATCCATTGAGAATATAATCAATTACATGTCTTTATAAAGTGAGGTATAAAAAAAAAAGGGTGGAACCTATATTATAATTATTTGTGGGATCCATAGCATGCTATGTACACCACTGTACACATATTTAATCAGATGTTTAACTGAAAAAAAAAAGCAATATGCAACAAAAAGGCTGAATTATGCTTTAGAAAATCCTACATTATAATCCATTAGGGTGATTTGAATAATAATCAGAAAAATATAAACTTTTTTTTCTGTTAGATTTGTATCATGTGTTCATAAGATGTTCAAATCCAATAGTTTAACATTTTCAAGCTGTTACTGAAAAAAATAACAATAAATGAATTACTAATGTAGAACTTTCCACACAAATTATATTTACAATAAAAAAAACTCATTGGTTTCTCTATTCTTCTACTTAACTATTTATTCAAAACCACTGAAACAAATTCAAATTTAATGGTTTATTTCAGCCTCTTCAAATATTTCTTTTCTCATTACAATGAGCATTCCTTTCAAAACTGTTAATTATAAAAGCTTGTGGGATCCTTCATCTTTCTTGTGTTTAAGTGATTACCTGGCTCGACCGTTTAAATATAATGAAACAAATTCGAAATTTAAAAACTTTTTTATTCAAATATGAAACATATTCCATAGTACCACCATACGGTGTATACCTCCATATTTAAGCTTATTAACATCACTTATTGATTTCTTTTAATTGCTTATGAAGTACTTCATGGATCTAACAAAAACATTTACTTAGGAATTCAATAGACATGATGGACTATGTGAGATTTCCAACAACTATATTCAAATCAAGTCAAATTGTACATCACCACAGAGATTTAATATACATACCGTAAAGGAACCAAACAGCCTCATAACCTTCTGATTCTGAAACTGCTCAGGTTATTGGATTTCTTTGCATCTTAGTTATTTCAAGTTCCTTATTTATAATTGCCAACTGACAGTAAATAATATAGATATAACCACACATTTTGAACTTTTTTCTTATCACTATAAAACATAATCCACATCTTTGTGTTACTATGGCATAATACAATCAATACAATGCAAAAACTGCAATAAAGATGTTAAATAAATGTATGAAACATGTATAATTTATGTGTATATCTGAAAAATTGTTTTCCTTATTGTAGTTCATAAAACATGCTTTACCATACCTGATCACATTCTTAAGATATATACAATTGCAAAGCCAGCTAACAAAAATATTTAAAAATTTTCATTGATATTCATAATTCTTCAGAATCTTTACATAAAATACTGTACCTTAAAATGATGGAACTCCATGTGAATATCTTCACACATTAAGAGATATTGTATCACAAAAAATTAGACAAATATTTATTGAGTTTTTGATCAACTCTGATAAATATTAGGGATGCATGGGTACCCACCCAGATATTCAGCCCTGGCTGGGTATTGGGATATCCGGCAATACTTGGTTCTGGCCGAGTGTTGAGGTTAGGTATCTAAGCCCTAATCTTTGTGGCAACTAATGTGGTACAGACAGTTATAAAAAACGTGTTCTGAGCAACAAAAACTGCCCACCTGCTGAAAGTAGAGGATTCAGAGAACAATAGGAGTTAATAACAGGCATGGCTTGTGAAGTGCATTTCTGTGGAAGGTGGGGGTTTTGAGAATAATAGGGGCTAGGGTATGAGAAGTTGGGCTGAAAGTTAAAAAAGTAAAACTTGAAAGTTGTGTTTGTGATTATTTGGTTAAATGTAATTAATGTTAATTTTGTTTTTGTTTCTAATTTTTGTGTATGTTTTTTTGGGGGTAAGAGGAGAACCCGGTCCCAGTCAACACCTGGCCCTGCCCAAGGCTTGGTGACTAGGTACCCAGACTCAGTATTCAGCCACATTTTACTACCCGTGCATCCCTAATAAATAAATAAATAAATACCTTTATACTTATAGAATCATCAATTTAATAAAAACCTCTTCTTAACATAAAGAACTATATGCAAAGCCTAAATATCAGCGTAGAACTATCCTGAATATACAAAAAAAAAGGAAAAATAAAATGCACCAAAAATATAATAAAATAATCAATGAAATATCTGTGACTTGCAAAATGTCAGACATGAGAGTTAACACAAATATAACTACATTTTCAATGCTGATGGCACTTTTCTGACAGCTAAATTTAAGTAAAAACTATCTCAAGCTTTCCGTATGAAACTATCATAACTTTCTTGAATCTTTCAGGATGGAATTCCATCCTGTATCACTTAGTTTGACTCCTACATCCTTCCATAAAGAAGCATTCTGAACAGCCCCAATATCATGGATAGGAATCATAGGTGGCTGCCAAATCCTCAGGAGGCTTCAGTGTGAGTAAGGTTGCAGCCTTAATTTCTGCCTGAGGCACTAGTTAAGGTACCACTGGCCCTGATTCTGAGCCTCTCACTGAGAAGCTATCTCAATTTTTTGTTGTATGTTTAGTATAGAATTAACTTGAAATATTTATTGTATAACAGTCCTCAATCATTCTTTTTAGAACTACATGTATCACAAATGTTCCAGTGTAACTGTTTGTAACCTTTTAGAATAATACTATTATTAATCTTTTCTGATAAATTACCATTGAATCTTTCAATGTAAATCAACAATTCATCTTTTGTTCTATAACTCTTTCAATGTGACATTATATTTACCCCAAATATTTGAAACTATTCTAACCTATATCATTCAATGTTGAACCATCATGATTGTTTAAATGCAGCTTCATGTTGAATCTCTTGATGTAGAATTATCCCAAATCTTTCAATACAGAAATATTTTGAAACTTTTTATGAAAAACCATCTTGAATTTTAAAAAATGTCCATAATCTTTTTGATTTAAATATAGTTATGCAAAGAAAATAATTTCTCATAACAGCTAAAATTGAAACTGAAATCTAAAGCATAAATGAAAGAGATGAATATTGTGACATAGAATTAACATGCATAGTATGAATAGTATAAATAATCAAAATATAAACATTTCCTTAACCACAAATACACAACAAACTTGATTTCTCATACAAGTTAAAAATGAAATACTACTTGAAAGTGTTAATATTTCAGTAGCCTAAAAAAATTCTTAAACTTGAACCTGTGATGAACCACCCTAAACTCTCTTAAAATGTTAGAATCATTTAGAATGGGGTCTATGCAAGAGAAGAGTTCAGAAAGTAGCAGAATTTTAATGCCTAAAGTCATCTATATCAGATTACAACCAACAAATTTACATCAATGGTGCTGAAGATATGCACAACAGATTTAACTTCTTTACAAAATCTCTGGTACAATGCACTCCTTCCACCATATCTATAGCTTCACCTTAAAGAAGTACAATAATATGTTACCACAGTAGTTATATTGTTTGTAACTGGTGTGTACTGTAGTATAAACTACACTTTATTGGCTAATTTTTTAAATTTTTAGTTTTTTTCCAATAAAATTATAACTCAATTAACTTGTTATCTCTAGTATCCATTTTTACAGCATTTGGTGTGAATTATAATCTATAACTAACTAATGAATAAATACTTTCCAATTAATTGTGGAAATCACATAATATGCAGTTTCTTAAGCAGTAGACAGATCTCACTTATTACAATAATCATTTCTCAATTGCAAACTATCCTTATTCAGTGCATGAATGAAATTTGTTTCCTTCTGAACATAGCTTATATGAAAAGTTTGTATTTAATGTTTTTACATATTTAAGACTAACTGTGAATGGAAAGCCTGTAGAATTATTTGGCTTAATCATAAGGCACTTAATTAGGTTAGATATTTTCATTTTTGTACGTCACACAAGTCAGAAAAATTATAAATTTTTTAAAAAAATAATGATAATTATTTTGATTTCAAACAACAACAAAAACAATTACAATTCACTCATGTAAATGAGAATGATTTTTAAGAAATTTCAAAAAGTATAGTACTAAATTCACTAAAAGCAGAAAGCATGGCAAGTAAAAAATCAAAAATGTAAACATATAAATGGAATAATAATAATAGTAATAAAAAAGTATGAATTTCTTGTCTGATCAAAACAATTCTCATGATTTAATGGAATTGGGAACTAAAACATATGTTGAAACTTGCCAGATATTATTACCAATAGAATGATTTTATAAATTAAGATTCCCCCCTTATGATTTATTGATCTAACCAAAGCAGTTGTGTTATCAAGTGCTATAATGAGTTATATGGAATAGTACACATTTTTATGAATATACAAAGTGTTGAAGAGTTTTGTCACTTGGTACTAAAACATTTAAAACTTTTAACACGTAAATAAACTTTCAAAGAACCAAGCTCATAGACTAGTTACCCTTGACTTTTCTTTGGGTAGTTATTCAAAGGGTAGAAAAGGAATCACATACTTGTAATTTGACCTTACATTCTTACATATAGTTTCAAATTTGTGATATATTAGAAATCAATTCCAAATCTATTCCCAAATAAGATTTAATCCTTACTTATCACATACTACAATGCCAGATGTTTAATGCTATTTATACCTTACTTTGCACATCATCTACATATATTTGTTAAAATGCACTGACATTCAAATCAAGAGAAATACAGGTGGTATAAAATATATTTATAATATTTGATGTTTCAAAAGATAAGTTAGTTAGTCTCAGAAATTACATGCATTTCCCTTTTCAAAAAGCATGTGTACACTAAGTTTATAAGCACTTTATAGCATATATATATTTCTAGTTGTTTATTTAACAGTTGGTATCATTCTGTTTGCTATCCAGTGCTACATTTCATCTTCAGAGCCTTCCATGAGAAGTTGTTTGAGCTCATCCTTAGAAGATAATCCTTCCTTTGATTTTGGTAGGACTGTTTCAAGATTAACATCCACAGTTGTTACTTTATTTCTTTTAGAGAGAGTAAGAACAGCAGCACCAATTAAAATTCCAGATACACTGATAACCAGAATGGCTAAGATACCTTAGAAAAAAAAAATCATTATGTTACTAATATTTCATATTAATCTTAACATCTTACTTAAATATTGGTAAAGTAAAAGTAAAAACATATCAACACTGATTTAGTTGATGCATTTGATATTTTGAATCAATCTCAAGGATATTATTATAAAAAATGTGGAAAACATGCCTATCCAAGAAAAAAACTGTCCTGCAGGAAATATTTTATTATTATTATTATTTTTCTGGACAGTGGTATGAGAAAATATGGCTACTGATAATTTCTATTTTCTATCACATTAGAAAGTCATTTCTGTTGAAACTGTCCACATGAGCATGTCTACTGTTAAATTTATATAGATATTTCAAAATATAAGAATTATATATCAAACATACATACATAAAAGAATTAAGAAAATAATCAGTAGTTGAGAGGAACCTTTTTTAATTTGTGATTCCACCTGAATATTTGATCTATTAATTGTATGGATATTATTTGTAAACTTCATCACGATTATAAAATGGATGTTAAGGTGATATAACCAAATTTCTTACAAAGTGGATGGACTACTGATCAACCAGCATTATATAAAAACGGTAACTCAGGTGTCTAGAAAAATGTTCCTTTTGTTTTACAAAAAAGTAAATCATATCAAGATTTTGTACCTACTTCCCTGATGTAAAATGTTGAGTTTCATTTACACAAGAAAGTCAGTTTCTGGTTTTATACAAAAAATGACTGTTCATTAATAACTTGGAAATGCTTGTAGATGAAGTCCTGTAGTTTATACAGAACTGTCAGGTTATGAAAACCATAAATTTATTTAAAATATTTTCAAGGACAATTGTATATTTGCTGTTAAAAATACCAAATGGGTATACCTCACTGACTATAATTATTTTAAAACTCAAATAATATTTACATTTCTATCTGAATAGGTTTGAATAAAGAATATGGAAAAATGATACCCGGGGTTCATTATACTTGGAGAACTAATTATGACTTAAATAGGCTTATTGAACAAAACTTGTTTACAAAGTACTTTTACGCAAAATATTTTACAACAAATTACTTTCCTAAGCCACGATAAAAGAATTAGCACAAAGGATTACCAAAATATCAAATAGAATTCAATCGTTCCATAACCTCGAGCACTGATCCAAAGTAGTTAAATTTAAAATTGAACATGTTAATGGAAAGGGTTAGCATACTTGTTTGACAAGTAAGATGAATGAAATATGAAATGAAAACATACAAGTAGATAGTGTTATTCTGAAGTTTAAATACACATATTAATGTATACACTTAGGAATAAGTAAGATGATTGTTAAAAATAAATTTTTGCACCTTTTGTTTTTCAGCAATTATTAATTTATCTTTATTAAAAATACAGTATTAAACATGTATGCCCACAAAACTACATGTATACCAATATTTTAAGGGCATTTGGTTAATATTAAGAAGATATCTACTTAGACAGAAGGAAAGTACAAGAATCTAGTTCCCTCTTACCTATAACAAAGGGATTAAAATAACTGAAACACACTGGTTTGTCATAACGGATATCTAGCATAGGCAAGACATTTTCTAAAGATCCATTGCTAGGCCAAATGTGGATGTCTAGAAGGTGGCACATCAAGGGATAGAGGTCAACATTGTTAAAAGGTTTTACTGTAAAGTTGACTTTGAAAGCTGGACCACGAGCAATAAATAAAGGATGCATGGATCGAAGACTATTGTTATACCCATGGCTTCCTTCTATTTAAAAAAAAGAAAGAAAAGAAAGTGATAACATATTTCAACTTGTTTTGAGATCTAAAATTAAACTTAAAAAAAAAAAGACCAGGAAAGTTTCTAGATCTTGTTGAAAGAAACACATACATAAGGAAGATATTACAAAAATCAAATAGTGTAACTCCTGCTTAAATTTTGGTGTTTAGTTTCATTCTTGAAATGTTTACAGATTTGCAAAACTGTTCAAAAACACGTTTTAGTGATAACAACAAGCAAAAGAAGGTTTTGATGTGCAACATATAAAATTGAGGAATTATGATGTCAAGAAGCACATAGGATAAAATGCTCTGCCACAGAGTTTCAGTCTTTGTTTAAGCAAAAGTTTAGAGCTTTAATTTGTTAAAAGGAGACAGTAATTTTGAATGGAAGAGTTGCAAATTCTTCTAAATGAAAATAAACTCTACATAAAAATGAAAAATATATTTTCTCAGTTTAATAGGAAACATTTATGATTATTTGTGTCAATTGGTTACAAACTAGTTGAGTAACTACATAGTTATAGGTGCAACATTTTCTTACGGCTCCAAAATTATCATAAACTTATGAACATATAAATTAATACTAGATTGTCTGGAAAAAAGTGTACACTTTATACAGTATTGTTGCAATATGTAATGGAGAGTGAATACATCTTTCATCATTTCTAAAGGAAAGCACGAGCTTTAGATTTTAGAGCAGTGGTTCCAAACCTTTTCTCTATCAAGGACCCCTTTTATTATCATTTTTTCCCCCACTGCCCCCATGTTTTTGAAAGATTCTGCTTACCTAACAAACTGTTTTTATTAACTAATAATTAACTCGTTCTCCTACTTTTCACTGTCAAATAAAAGATGTATATAACTGAGTGTGCAATTAAAAAAACTTACCTGTTTAACGAGATGGTATTATCTACGAGGACCCCAGGTTGGGAACCACTGCTTTAGAGGTATCCAGTATCCCATATACTTCTGTACACGTGTGTGGTGTTTGGCATTAAGCACTGCAGGTGACCCAAGCCATTACTGTTTGCATGTTAACTTAATGTGGAATAATGTTAATTAACAATTAATTACTTTCATATAATAAGTTAAAATAAAAGTAGGTTTTATGGTTGAAAATGTAGAGTTTGAGGAAGCATTGTGTTAAAAAAACTGCAAATGACTACTGTGACCATTGAATTGATTATTTTAAGGTTTTTCTGAATTTCTGTCTTTATCAACAATTTGCATAAAAGCTTATGGTGTTTTTATGTTTATAAAGTTGTCTGTTTTTAATTATTTTGAAGTTTTAGTGATGGATTTAAAGAACAAAATTCCAAAACATTGAAAATTCAAGATTTCTTTGGTATTATGTTTTTTAAATATTTCTTATCATACTTTGATTTTCACCTTTTGAATTATTTTAATATCTGCAAAGAGGAAATCTAGAAAGTATCACTATAATCACAAGTTTTCTTCAATTTCTTGCCCAGTAGTAAATGTTGTAACCACTAGTGATGTTTAGCTGACATTAATGATTCATTCACCAAGCATTATGTTTGTGTGAAAAAATTCCCCAAAATAAAATACTATTTGAATAAGTCAAAAAAGATAACACACAGACACTTTTTTTTTGCTTGTACAGGCATGACTGTAGAGACTTGTGTGTACTATTTGATTAATGATCCTGTTGATTAATTCCACATATGACCCAACTCTATACTCAAGTAAAGATTGTGGGTCATACTAAGTATTGTGAAGGTTTTCTTAATTTTTTACTTAAGTTTTTTTTCTGTTCAAAATTGCAAAAAATTCCTTATGATGTCAACTTTTTATCTTACATACTTTCAAGTTAATTCCATTACATTTTGTGGGTGAGTTCTTACATCGATTTCTCACATATAAAATAGAAGTGAAAACATCACATATTGCCCATATGGAGATTTTTGACAGGAGTGAAACTTTTATATATTTTTTTTCAAGATTGTCTAATTACTGTAAACTGCAATGGCAGCCTATTTATACATAATTGATTGTGCTTTAAGTTTCTATAATATTATTCAATACCATTAATAAAATGGTTGATACTTGCAAATTTTAACTCTATTTTAATTTATTGATTTTGTTATTGTTTAATAACAGATATATTAATGAGAAAACCAGTGTTTAATAGTACACAATAAAGAGTTAAAAAGGAAACTGTCCCCAATCTCAAAATAGAATGAAAATTTTTGTTTTTACTTAATAATTTACTGTATAAACATTAATTACAGGGAACAGTTTAATATACTCTACATTTTTCAATATCTTACTGTATCATCATTAGGACTGCAATATTTTGCAAGAGTTTAAACCTATATATATACTTTCTCAAAAATCACATGATCAAATTCACACACACAATTTTAATTTAAAAAATTTGATGCCATCTATTAATGACATTTCCCTCTGGTCCTTTGTTCTTATTTAACACTTTAAAATTATCTATATTACATTAGATTATCTCAGTAGATTCACAGACATTATTACCATTAATGTATAAATTTTTTCCCCCATTGAATCATGTGTTTAGTTTCATCAGTAAGTTGGGCTCAAGGCGAGATCTTTCTATTATTATTTTATATATTCGATTTGTGTAAATTTGTTCTTTATTTCAAATTTCTTCTAGTTTGTCCTACACAGGTATTTCCAAATTCACATTATTTTAGATATACCAGTTTTTTTTCCATTAAATCCATTTTATCTTTAGTTATATTACGAATTTGGCTAACCTCGTTCATCGGTTTGTATTTTTTTGCATTACTTGACAAGATAAACCAGATATAAATAGTAATAATCCCTTCTTTCTTAATTTTTCAGCTAGTGGTTTAAACATATTTTTATTGTCCTTTTTTTAATTTTTTGACAGCTCTGTCAACAATATCATGATTAAAACTTCTTTCTACTACTACATACTTGATAATAACTTTTTAATGTTTTTCTGTTTATAACAAAATTTTAAAATGCTATCCACATAAGAACAAAAAGCAATGGTTTTTTTTGAGAATTAGTGTGACAAGATTTTTGATGTAGATGTCACAATTTCCAAGAATGGTTTTTGATAAACAGCAGTTTCCAACTTACCTTTATTTTTACTTACTACATCCAAAAAATGTAAACAGTTATTTTCTTCAATTTCATATGTAAATTTGATAAAATTATCAATGCCATTAAGGTAATTAGCAATATAAGTTACAGACCACAAAATGATACTGATGAAATTAGTCAGAAACTTTACAATGAGATTAAGATTTCAGCTGTTAATGAAGCCATAATTATGGACAATTTTAATTTCAGGCATATAGATTGGAAAATGCTAGAGTCAAAACATGAGGAAGAAAGGTTTTTGGAAACTGTTCATGATGGCTTTCTTCACCAAATAGTCAAAGAACCTACTACAAAAAACAATGCTATTTTAGATTTACTGTTAACTTCAAATACAGAAATGACCGAGAGGATCGAAATTGGGGAACATCTGGGTGCAAGTGATCATTGTTCTATTAGGTTCAATGTTTTGCTGCATATGGAGATAAGAAATAATGTTATTTTGGTCACAAATTTCAAAAAAGCTAATTTTGAAGGGATGCAACAAGAATTATCTGTTGTTAATAGGACAGCTGATTTATTTGGAGACACTGATCAGATGTGGAAAAAGTTTAAAGATAAATTTTTAAATATTCAATGTAAACATATTCCTAATAGAAAGAAAAGGATAGCTACAAGTAAAAAACCGGGTTGGCACACAAAGAGTTTAAGAAATAAAATTAAAGAAAAGCATAATAAATTTAAGAACTTTAAATTGCCTGGTATGACAGGAGACTTAGAAGCATCAAGAAAGGTGGTGAAACAGGAAATCAAAAATGATTTTTGAGAAAAGGCTGAAAATGTAAAAATTAACAGTAAGGATTTCTTTAAATACATTAAGGGTAAAC